CCCCAAAACCCCAAAACCCCAAAACCCCAAAACCCCTAACATCATCTATTAAATTGAAACTTGGATAAGATTATATCCAGAATTTGACAAGAATGTAAGGAACTGTACTTTAAGCATACACTCCTTGCATAATTCCTTTGACTTGGTGGAATTCGCTGTAAGGTCCTTTCTCCACAGCTTTCTGAGCATCTTCCATTCCGAGGTTGATCAAATTTCTAGTGTGTTTCTTTGTGAAGAAAATTGATCCAGAAAGTGGCCTCTCTGGTATGACCAAATATCTGAAGTTGACACGAGGGAAGTTCATAAGTGCGTCATTGACCCATTTCATCTCATCGCGATATTTTTTGACAGCACGATACCTCATTACAACATCAATGGTGTTGAAGTCTGTAGTATCGACTTCTTCCAAAGTATTTCCATTACACATGATAATGTCGATAGTGATCTCCTCATCTTTGTTAGCGATTTCTTTGCATCTGTCGATGGCTCCACCGACATCGAGATAGTTTTCTACTCCACCATCGACAAGAGTCATGTTCATGAAGTCAACAGCTGGGAATATACCTGGGATTGCTGAGGAAGCTCTGCTTCCTTTGTATCCAAGGTCTTCAAATCCTAGGGCTTCTGTGAATCTCACAAATTTGCCAGTTTTTAAATCGGTAGCTCCTAACGTCACCTTTTTAAAGATTTCCTTCCTTGGAGCCACTTCTTTTACATAGTCTATGAAGACAGAGTTGTTGAAGAGTCCTTTATGCCAGAAGAGACCTTCAGCAACGGAATATGGCCAGTTCACAAAGACTTTGTCTCTAGTCATGCCTTCCCAGAATTCAACTATAATTAACCAATGATTATTTGGAGGAACATTTTTGAAGAAGTTTGACAACAATTTGGGAAAATCTTGACAATTTTATTGGACTTACTCATCCAATCTGTAAGTTCTTTTTCTTCACCTGATGGGAATATGGAAACCCCCATTGCGTTGATAGCTCCAACTGAGACTCCAGATACTACATCGTAATCGATTTCTTTTCCGCCTAGGGCTTCATATAGGCCCTTGAGGGCTCCAGCTTGATATGCTCCTTTATCGCCACCAGCTTCAAGGACTAAGGCCTTACAAGGTGCAGCGGTAGTTCCTACGAGCATTAAGCCCAGTAAGAGTAATATGATCATAGCTTTGCTTTTGTTGGTGCTCATTTATTCTAAAATTGTTATGATAAACTTATAATCCCAGTTATAGCGTCACCATAAGGGGTTTTGGGGTTTTGGGGTTTTGGGGTTTTGGGGTTTTGGGG